TATATATATCTAATATACAGATGCAAAAGTATAGGGGGAAGTGAGGAGAGAGAATGCCTGAAGAAAATTAACAATATTACATAATAAAACTACGACCAAAAAACCCCCCAACAAAAACGAAAAAAACCTGATAAACTTTTTCTTTTATCTTTTTCGTTTGATGAGCTCATGAAGTAGCTTGGTGGAACGTATGTCATTAGGTCATCAAAGCACTAATATTCTGGGAGAAAAAAACCCATTTAAGTTCACAATAGCTCTATATTATACACCATAAGACGTCAGGTAGGGCATGTACCAGAGCTAAACCTTTGTCCCATTCTTCCACAAAAATGTGCTGTCTGCCCACTTACCCTGGAATGTCCCTGGCCTCTCAAAAATAACAAAAATAAACCTTGCCAAACACACGTGACATACTGCTGGTCAAAGTCAAAAGCATGAATAACCAAGTCAAGTGTACATGAGTAGTTTTTTGTTGTTTATTGCTAGGTAAATATTGCTTTGACTTTGATATACAGAAGGACAAAGATTGTGAAGAAAACGAGACACAAACTTTGTCCAAAATATGGTAAGAAAGCAACAAAAAAAAACCCCAGAAGTAAATTTGGAAAGAACTGGTACGTGTTTCCACACATCAGATTTTGTTCATGAACAATAAACAACAGCAGAGAAGGCATCGATAAAGATCTATTCCAACACAAGTACAAATCAGAATATAGTCATTGATTCGAAAGGTCGCCTTTTGAATCCGAATACAGTTCTTTTCTTTCCTTGTATAGATCTTTATCATGTTAGCCAAAAGTACCTTCACAATAAATTTTTTTTTTTAATCGGAGGAAATGGTGAACTTAAAAAAAAAGGACACTGCTTCTCCCTGCAAGCACCATACAAAACTCTATAAAAAGGAATGATATTTGTTAAAGTTAAAGGGGTTTTGTTAAACAAAATGTAAATGCAAAAGAAAAAAAAAGATGGTGAAATGGACAAATGCAACTGACAGAGACAATTTCTTCCAGTCTGCAAAACTAGGATTCCTTAAAGCCATGTAACCAACGAAAGTTTTGTTAGAATAGAAGGTAACAATATTTATAACCAACAAAATTAAATTAAGACTATGTTTTCCTATATTTTCATCCAAACTAGTTTACATTTTATTCGAAAAAGTTAAGGCACAAAAATCATGTCCTGAATAGAGATCACATCTTTAGCCTGTGAATGATAAAGTAATAATACAGAAAAACAAGACATTAATGGAAACATTTATGAAGAAAAAGATGTCCCTGTACAATATTATATGACTTTGCTATTTCTGATGGCTCATTTGGTGTAGACGGCTCTGTCTCCCGACGTGCCTCCGCGACCAAAACCTGCAACAAAAACAAAAAATACAAATTATTGGTTGGTGACAAGTACAGACACATGTGGTGATGCTTTCTGATTACAGCATATCTATACATTCCTTTTTTCTTTTCAGGAAATAATGACACAACAGCCATCACACAAATATTTTATATATCCCACCAAGTGCAGGCCTATGTTAAGTGAAGGCAAGCTCAACTAAACAGTTACGTTTTTCATCCTTTCCAAATTTATAATAAAAAGCGAAATAGAAATTAAAACAAGAAATCAAAACTCATTAAAAATTATAACCACTTTACAACAAAATAAAATTAATGTTGTTAAAATGTTTCAGTATCAAAAGTTTCTTTTGCACTGTTTCAACTGTAATTTTAAAAAAATGAAATTTGCTATCAAACAATCAGCCAGAGTATGGGAAAAACCACTAATAATCTTGTCTTTCATTTGTGACTTAGTGGGGAGCTGAAAACCATTCCTCTCTTGATCAGGGTGAACTGGTTCAAAGTTTCAGAAAAAAAAAGAAAATCATGGTCACAATTTTAAAGTGTTCTTGCTCATGAGGAACGAGGGGTGTAAAGACTAACACACACACCCCCCCCCCTTTCCTTCCCAGTACCTTTTCTAAAAGTTATATTACTAGGTCCTTCAGGTCATGAGGACCTGACCTCAAGATGTGTTTGCTCATCCGTGACATGACGAGTTTCCATTCTCCATCAACGGATATAAACTCAGTGGGTGCTGAATGTCTCAGGA